AATACGTAGTGAGGGATGTGACAGGCACGATTCTAGGTAGATAAGAACACTTCGGGGCCGTGTACCGTCCGTCGGTAAATACACAAATTTATTTATTTATTTATTTTATAACTGTGCGTGTGTCCAAGACTTACCTGCTACACACTTAGTACGTTTCTGAGATGAGAGATGAATGACTGGCCGGTGTGCGATTAACAGATAGACAAACGGTGTGGATGGGCTGAACAAATAAATGTCATATACACACCTGAATTCCCGACCTTTCTTGAAAAATGCGTATCCTTAGAGCAAAACGTCCAGCAAGTTTAGGTACACGCTGTGATCGCCGAAGCAACGGTTTGTTTAAAGTTTGTACGGCATCATGAGTTGCTGGATCCACCATCGTGTTTCATTGAATCGAATGCATGTTTTTCTCACTCCAGTGTTTCCACATAACTTGAACCCGTGTGATTTGAATGCTGCCGCATGATGCGACTATTTATCTTGTGGTCGGCTAACGTATCGTCCACTGTGTCCACACTTGCAAACTGTCAGGATGGATAGTGTGGTAGCTGCTTTTAGACAGAGTCAACAAGTCAATGGGCTGCGTCATGAGCCCCCTCAATTGCAGCTGCCATGTTTTTCAATTCTGTTTGCGTCCGATGACTAGAATTGACAGACTATTGTGAAGCGTTCTACCAAACATCAGCTTCTCTTAGAATACATCTGAGTCTTCTGTTGGAGCTATCTTGTGGGCAAAAAGTAATTGTTCCGATAAATGTTTAAGAAGATCTTGGACTGTTTGCATGGCCCTCGCAGTTAACGTATTAGACGTTAGGTCGCGCTGGCAATATCCATGTGGTGTACACTAAATGCATGCCTAAAACTGCTGGTAACATAGGACTGATTTACTGGGCAAACGAGTGCAGTTATTTCAGGAAAAAAAACAGTGAACGATGACCGCATTTAATTGGTTCAGAGGTGCTGTGAGCAATTACGCATACATAGGTCCCGTTTGTGTGGGTTTCGTAAGCGGCAAAGTGCACAAGTCTTCCGAGCGCTTTTACGCTTACAGGGAGCAACTCTCAGCAGGAGAACACACCATTCAAAGGGCCAGCTTATTTTGTATCTATACGCTACGTTGGCCTTTCAGTCCAAGGCGAGGAGTGTATTGGTGCTGGAGAAATACTACATTAATACTGTTAGCTAAGGTAACAGGCTTTCAGATAGTTTTCGATTTTGAAATATAAGCCAGATTAGTCCGTTGTCATGCCCCAGTACCAATTAACAGATGCTGAGAGGTGAACTACAGCATTTCCCGCCCACTGTTCTGACGGCCTGAGTACAGCAGCACCCAGGCATCAGCAGCCAAAGTCGATGTTTTTCGACGTACATTACACGCAGTGACTGTCTATGTACTCCATACAGTAGTGCTGTCCGCGCTATCTTTTCGCGCACACTTCCCTGAATCGCTAGTTCGAAGTATCCGCAGACGTATACGATGACAGCATGTGTTATATTGAGTAGTACAGCAACTGTCTCCCTGATTCCTTCACCAGAGATGATAGATCTATTTTCACAAGTAGCATTTCTCTCGTTAGTCCGTGACTGCAATTCTGGCAAATCACAAGCAAAACATTTGTAGGATACGAAACAGAAGTCTATTCATCAGTGAGAGAAGTTAACTGCTGGCTATCTGGACAACGAGTTGTTGCAAGTTATTGAGAATACCTGTAGCTCGGGATATGGATGAGAGGGTTTTGCATTGCGCTATGCAAACGAAGACCATTGTCCTACCTTATATCCATGGGAATTCTGAAATGGCAGCGAGGCTTTTAATGCCTCATGGGATCAACGTTACACATGCAGCAACGGAAACCGGTCGGAGTAAACCTTTTAGGATAAAGGACCAACTGAGTAAAGGAGAAAGATCAGGTGTGATTTACAAAATTTTCTGCAAAAATTTCGACGAGTACTACGTGGGCCAGACAGGGAGGAAACTTGGTACCATACTGCATGAACACAGTCTGGCCATCCGTCGCCATGATGAAAAATCACTAATGTCAGTACATATGGATGCCGAAGGCCATCAGTTCGATCTGGGAAACGCCAAGATACTTGGAAGAGCGAAGAACCGCAGAGCGCGTGAGTTCATCGAAGCCCGGCATTCGGGCCGGAACTCAATCAACAAGCATTTGGAACTAGAGGGTGTCTACAAAGCTCTGCAGGTGGCGACAACAATAAACAATAGATCGACAGGGCGAAGATGCGACCACTTGACCGACCCACCTGAGCGAATCGAAAACTGACATTCACAGTAGGAGCCGATCAATATTCACTTGGATCTGGCAGTGGCTTACGAGGCTCTGCGAATCAAACCCTAATAGCTACACTGAGGATGTTTTCTAGCTTGGCAATGAAACGTCTGCAACCCTCTCTACGAGTTGTTGATTTGACAGACTTGTACACATAATTCCCAAATTAGATAGACAGGAATGCTGCTGCTGTGCAAGCTGAAGAAGTGTGAGTCGGCTCCGTTAGTGAAATGTGGCTCCCATCGACAAACATTTAGGTATTTTTCCTTCCGATTTACACTGAATATCTGGTGTTTTCGTGGTGCAGCGGAAGCAGTGCATGGTCCCTCTGTAGGCGAAAGTGTCCTGTGGCTGTCCTATGGAGGCCGCAGTGACATGGGAATCCAAAACCGGATGCCGCCAACCATGTGTGAAGATGCGCGAAATCGGATACTCACACAGATGACCAAAAACTAGTGACCGGGAGATCTGGATAACAGTCTACCCTTGATATGAATCACCTTGACTGAAACTTTGTTTCGTTTGACCATTCTCTGATAGTAACTCATAAAATAGGTCTCTTTATAGTGCGGGCATTTCGGTTCGGAGTATAAGAAACGTAAAATACGCGGATTCTTCAAAAATTTAGTCTCAACCACTGTTCATTCTATTTTGCTCTGCAAGTTCAGTTTTTGAAATTAATTTTATGTCAGGCGATTAGCACATTTAGGAGAGCAATCAACATCGGGTGGCATTCACAACTGCTTATGCCACTGGTTTCATCGTCCATGGACGCAATCATTCCTTGGTCGATACAGTGTCACATGACTGCATTCGTTGTGCAACTCCACAATCAGTTCATCCGAGGCGTAACGGAGGCGTCAACTAACTGGGTGTGCGCTCGCCAATTGACGGAACTCAGACAGTTTAACATCGGATTCCACAGCCTGTGAAATGTATGCGCAACTTCACGCACATCGCATAATGTATCTGGCAAAAATGTGCAACCGAGATGTGCACTGTAATTTCATGCTGCATAACAAATTTCAGGCCACACCGATCGGAAATAAGGCACAGAAAATCTGCTCGGCATCCAAATGCTCAGCTGCGAGATGGTAAATGTGAAGGTGCCGACTGGATCCCGCCTAAAATAATGCAACACGGCGGAGCCGCGTTGGTGTCTGCGCTGCACCAGTTGGTGCATCGCGTGTGGAGGATGTGACTCCTGCGCTGAAGGATGCCCTTGTGCTACCACTGTACAAGGGCATAGGGAGCAAGCAATGTTGCACGAATTATCGTGGCATCAGCTTGCTAAGCTGTGTGGGCAAGGTGATTGCCCGTATCCTACTCGACCGCCTCGTCAGTCAAGTTGTGAAACCAATCGGGACGGAAGAGCAGTGTGGAATTCCTTCTTGTCGCAGCACCATCGATATGGTGTTTGCGGCTCATCAATTGTAGGAAAAGTGCAGAGAGCCGCACCAGCCATTGTACTTGCTGTTTGTTGATTTCACCAAGGCATTTGATACGGTGAACCGCAAGGCATTGTGGTTAGTGTTAGTTAACTTTGCTTGTCAGCACAGTGGTACGGGTGAGGGTTTAGCTGAGTGGACAGACCTCAGAATACTTTGTACTTGTCTAGTGTGAAGCAAGGTGTTTTAGCTCCTGCACTATTTGCTCTTTATCTTCATGTCATTATGTTATGCCTTTGATGCAGCTTCAGCTTAGGATGTTCGTGTGGAACGCCGTATTGATGGTGGATTGCTGTACATCCGTCGTTTCGGTGCCAGAGCCCCAGTCTGTGAAACAGCTATCCGTATGTTGCTGTTCGCTAACGACTGTGCGTTTTTTGCACACAGCGCGGATGAGTTGGAGCACATGACTAGTGCTCTGGCTTCGACAGCGGCCAAATTCGGGATCAGCCTCAACACAAGCAAAGCTGTCTGTTTCCTTCCGCCTTCACTAGAAGTGCAATCTGCAATGGTGCCGCACATCAGCATTGGTGATGAAGTATTGGAAACTACCGCTTTTGCTATCTTGGGATTATGGTGTCGACTGACCGGCAGTTACACAGCGATATATATATATATATATATATATATATATATATATATAAACATTTGCTTAATAAACATTTGACGGGGTACCACAACAAATGAGTAACAATAGGAATAAAGGGAGTGAGTAGGAGGAATGGAAGCAAAGTTGCATGTGTTGTGTGGGCATTGAGCTTCCCGGTTGCCCAGGCCGAGGAAGAGCTACACAGTGAGCTTCGTATCCGCGTCTCGGAAGCAGCGGCGACATTCATGACGCTTGTGTACCGAGTATTGAACAACCACCAACTTACCGTTGCGCACGAAGCTGCTGGTGTACAGATGCATGGTGCTGTCTGTTCTTCCATACGGCAGCGAAACGCGGACGAGGTACCGGCGAGACGTATCGCGAGCGGTTTCATCAACTGTGTTTGCTACAGATTCTCCGCGTCGGTTGTTGCGACAGAGTTGCAGACACTGAAGTGTTGCGTCGAAGTGGAATGTATGCAGTGGACTGCATACTTGTGCTGAGACACCTAAAGTGGCTCGGTCATGTGTGGCGTAGGGTTTCAACGCGGATACCGTAGCAGCTATTATGAGGTCAGCTGAGTGTTAGGAAGCGGCATGTGCGGAAACCAAAGTTACGTTACCAGGACATGTTCAAAGTGAGCCTCTCACGTTCTAATCTTGATTGCAGGTCATGTGAATCGGAGGCGGTTGATCGGCGTGCATGGCGTGATCTGATAACGAAAGCAGTTGCCGAAGTGCAGGAGAAAGACCTCATACATACAAAGAAGAAGCGGCAAGTGTGGACGCGGCGGACGTCTATTGGTTGTATTCAATCGACCTCGAGCGCAAGGTACTGTAACATATGCGGTCGCGAGTGCCTGAGTCAGGGAGGCGTAGTGAGCCACGTGCGAGGCCACGCGGGACCAGTATCGAAAGAAAGACGGGTCCTGCTGAGAAGGTAAGTAGAACCGGCGTAGCGTTGATAGATACGCTGCATGCGCTTCCATTCGATTTACTGACTGTGGGCTTTTATGTTGAGGTACTTTATTCCAAGCAATCGGTTTGCTATATTGTCTCAATGATTAATCTGTTGCCTCATTTTAATGTCTACCAGAATAAGCTTCTATTACTTTGCTCATGTCGCATAAACGAAAGGTGGTTCACTTCGTTTATTTTTTCTCGCTTCTCGTATGTCTTTTTAATTTCTTGTTTTGCAGTCTTGAATTTATCGCGGATATGTTGATGAACTGTTTAGTTCATATACTAATTTAGTGAAGAATTAGGTCGGCATATCCGTATAGTGCTTTTGCTACCTTTTATTTGTTATTGACATTTGAAGTGATCGGCTGCTGTTTGCTATTCCCGGTCTTGCTAATGTTGTGTGGATGCTGACAAGGTGCCTCTCTGTCTATTACCCTGCACTTCTATTGTACTAGCTCCAGGAGACAGTTGGTCGTTACTGAAGGGGACTAGGTGCATGGTCCTCGTAGCCGCGCTAGGCTTAAAAGGGTGGCTCCATCCAGGTTGGAGCGGACTACGGTCTAGCCACCGCCTTGAATGTACTTGATTCTCCAAATACAGCGTGCTTGTGTTTGCCTGTGTAGGAGTGTCGGCCGTATCCGTTGATTAAACGTGGCTCCCATCCAGATGCCTCCTGGTGTTATTCCTTAGGGCTTACGCTGGATATGTGGTGTGTGGATGGAGCTGTGGGTGGTGCAGCGCAAGCCACCCATGGACCCTCTGTAGGCGCAGGCGTCCTGTGGCTGTCCTATGGAGGCCGCAGTGACAGATGAATCCGGAGCCGGATGCCACCAACCATATATATATATATATATATATATATATATATATATATATATATATATATATATTGCAAACTTGCTAAACGAATCCCGACTAGGATACTGTATCTATGTATTGCATTTTAATAGGCATTCCATTATGAATTTCCTACTAGGAGTAGGGTCGTAATTTGTTGGGAGTTGACGGATATTACATGCTTCCACCTGAATCATCTAATCAGATACAGACTGCCTTTGATCTATGGGGGGTTGATTTCACACATTCATTAGCGGCTTATATTTCGTTACGGTTTGAATACGACAATTAATCATCCACTTCCACGACTGCTTGCCGTAACAGGTCTACCATATCCTAGTTTGCCTGGACATCAATATTGTACGATTTGTTGATTCTAAGCTTTACTGTCCTCGAATTGCTAGGTCTAGTATTGCTTCTATACTGATGTTCACAATTAACCAACATCGGTTCGCTGGGAAAGCAAACCCAGTTTTCTCACTCGTTTATGAGTTAAGCAAATAAAGCAAGTAACTTATAAATCTCTTATTTCTTGACGATGCGAGAAACGGTTCCTTCATAGTGACAAATCAACCTACACCAAGGTATCGTTCTGGTAACCTGCTCGACATGGATGGTTAGGGCGAGTGTCCAAAGCGAGGTTAACATGTTTGGGACATCACAATCCCCGGATTGCGCTTTCGAGAACAGTATTGATTGCGTCCGACTAAATTATAATGAACACGTGTCGAGGACAAATGAACACCTGCAAATAACTTTCTGGCCTACAGTTTCTTTCATTTTATTTTTTTCTGCCGGCCCGAGCATCTGTTTGTGTTTGTGTAGAGCAGTGGTTCATCGAGAGGTCCAAAAATCAGCGAACATTCCGGATTAATTCGGGTTACATAAACTTGAAATGTGTGCACGTGTTAAGTAAAAATTAACTGTGCAATAGCACGAGCTGATTGTAACAGTTTTGATCTGTCTATTCTAAGGACAAGCTCGCATCCTTGTGGAATACACAGTTTATTTACTTATTTACCTATCTGCTTGTATCCATTTCAATGATATATTTAGTTTACACTGCGCTCGCACGACTTCCGAAATATGGTTGGATCGAGAACAGTTCGAAAAGTGGAACTGATTTACGTATAGGCAGTTGTGTGTTACTCACTGCGTAAAATCCATGGCTTCATTAAGCCAACCAACCCAGCCGCCATCGTGCATGGTGTTGTGGGAGCATTTGATGTGCAAAAGTTATGATTACGCTTTTTGTCAGTTTCCAACTAGAAACCACTGAGCAGCTGCATGGAACATGGCTTGTAAGGTTTTTTCAGTAAGTAACTCACAAACATGCGATTTCGTAGATTACCCTCAGTTGAAGTGGTTAAATTGGACAGCAGGACACTGCATTCGAAACACTATACACATCTGCAAAATTCGTGCTGTGCTGTATACTAGGGTTTTGTTAAGTAACGCTATCTTTTATGCTTCCAATCTATTAAGGCACAACAACTTACCTAAGGTCTTCGTCGTTCGCTTTTGCTACGACCGGAATTCATGATTGCACCAGGAGCCATGTCGGCCGGTGGCCGAGTGGTCTGCACGTTTGGTTTGCAACCATAAGGTCACCGTTTCGAATCCGCGTAGCGGTGGGCGTCTTCGCGGTATACTCAGCCCGCGCGCGAGTGGTGGTGGTCGCGCGGCAGCGAAGCGCCGTTACGGCGTACAGCTGACACATTATTATTTATTATTTATCAGGAGCCCTACGTGAATTGTAACATGGGAAGCTAGACGCTAATAAGGTACCTTTTGCATTCCCTCATTTATGATGCGACTAAACACAAAATTAACTGAACAACGGATTTCTCCATCTCCTCTTCAAGGCGACAGGATCTTTTTCACCGTGTTCCCGTGAAGTGAGTATCATCTAATTGGTTGTACAAAATAAGGACTGTTTGGTAACAATTTTCAAAATCATCTGCCCTCGTGTTCCTGTTCCAACGCAGTCGTTGTGCTAAACGGTGGTAACCACACGGTGATCGCAATTTATCCACGTCGGTGACGCTAGGTCTTAGCATTGATGGTAAAGCTGCAACAAGGAAAACATGGTTTACTCGGACCACGCAGCGGCAGACAAAACGCGTTGCGAATCAATATCGCGCAGTAGGAGTATTCCAAGTGAACTTACATGTTGTAATTGCAATAAGCGAGTTCATCCTAATTGCATAAATTTAAATATAGCGATGACGCTGCACGGTTTTGTACAGCTTATACCATCCGCTCCCCCGTAAGGTACATCACCGTGCTAGCACCGAAATGGGACAAACTGACAGCGATTTTGGAGCGTGAGACAGCGGGTATAGTGGCTGCATCCCAACCCGTTGCAGAAGAACTCGATTCCCAGTGCCTAAATTTAAGCTTCGCCTTGGAAGACAGCGACGGAATCAAGCATAAATTTAACCTCGTAGAGCCAGGTACTCCAACCACGGCAACTAGCGAACACGCGTGTAGCCAAGGTCAGCCGGCCTCGGTGGCCTTAATCTTGTAGAGATGGTTTCTCCAGGAAGTGTTTGTGACACATAACACGCTATTGCATTCGTGTTTACGCAACACTACCAAAATCTGACAACATAAGCAGCCATTGTTGCTGCATGCGGACATAAAGGAAATTCAGCCGTCAAATCTACAAATACTCCAAATAGCCTTAAAAATGACCCCAGTACCGATGCTTCTATGAGAAAGCCATTCACCATACTGCCAGAAGAAGGAAGCACTATCTTGTGCAAACTTATGAACACAAGAAAGACGCAGAACTTGATAAAAATAATATACTTCAGCGCGCCTGAGTCACAGGCAAACTATTGCACGGCCTGAAACAATAGGAATCCACATATGGGAATCCAGTCCAGTCAGGCCTGTTTGGTTCGCATCGTCCGCCACCCAAACTCGGTTCACTATGTCGCGCCAAGACTACTTCAGGTGACACTTGAACAGTGCATACTGATTTATGCCGGGTAAAGTGCAGTTGCTTGACAAGTCCCGCAGGAGGGTGGGGGTAAAACTACACTTATCGAAAGATAGGTGAGTTGTCCGTTTGAACGCTTTTCTGACAGATACGCTGATGAATGACAGTCGTGTAAGTGGGAATTGAATGCGAACGACGAGGCAAAATGTGGAGTTATCGTTGTTGTTCTCCGCGAGAAAACTAAAAACGGGAATGCTCACTTATGTACAGCCTCCTCAGGTTTATGTAACAAGTTAATCCGGGTTAGAGGGTTAATTAATATATGCAAAATTTGCACAGTTTTGGCAACGAAGTGATGGGGGCCAAGGGCAAGATTCAATCGCTTTTTGAAAATATTCAAGGTTGGGGAGGAAACAATGAAGTTTGGGAGAATGTTCCAGGGTTGGCAAACCCGAAGAGAAGAATACTTCCGCCGACATTCCAGACGGCTATACTGTGTACACAATTTCAGAGGGCTACCTTTGAGATTGGTGGTATGGCTGTGTTTCATCAAGTGACGTCATACTTGATTAGGATCACTAAATACTTGGTAGACAAATATACGATCGCCGCGCAGCCTTCGGTAGCGGCCACTGGAAACTACATGTGACTTCAGCATTTGATGGTAGAACAGATTTTGTAGGCCCTTGACGATCTTTGTGGCTCTGCGTTGGAGTTTCTCTAGTACTTCTAAGTCGCGCTTTAACCAAGGTTGCCAAGCTTGGATGGCGTATTCAACGCGTGGGCGCACGTAAGAATTGTGCATCATGGGGAAGATGGGTGACTCGAATCTTCCGAATGCTCTCCGCAGCACGCCGACTTGTTGGTTGGCTCTCTTCGCAGGTGCCTCTGACTGTTTTGAACAGTTAAGGGCACTTTGAATGAGCACACCAAGGTCGCGTTCTTGAGAAGTTGTTTGCAATACATGTGACCCAAGCCTATACACGTAGTCATGTCTATGGCGCAATAGAACAGCATGAAATTTTTCCACATTGAACGGTAGTGTATTCAGAACTGACCAGTTTGCAATTGTGTTTAGATCAGGCTGGAGCTTTTCCTAGTCCTTCGGTTCTTTGATCGCTTGCCATAAGTTAATATCATCCGCGAAGAGTAGGAAATCGGAAGCAATTTCCATTGCCAGACCGTTTATGCAA